TGGGTGGGGTATGTGTGTTCAACAAGAACAGGCTCCCAACAAGATTCATCATAACAATGCCAAAGTGACTGGGCATTGAACAGCAGGTTTATTGATATTGAGGGATTTGGGTTTCTCTGCCTCGAGTCCATAGTATGAGAACAGTGCCAGGCGACATGGGGGCCGGGGCTCCAAGCAAACCGGATTGGAAAGGAAAGAGATATTGACAGCATCGACAGCGAGCAGTTCTGCCACAATTGGGGGTTTGGAGAAGGAGTGTGTGGAAACTCAAGCACAGGTGCCCTCAGTGAATCTGAGCTTCCCAAATGTCCCGCTGGCAACTTTACCAATGGCAGGCACACGTGTGGACGCGCATATGTTTTTTATTGAGGATTGGTTTGGTTGCCGCCGATCAACTGCTTGTAAGGGGCCCAATGCGGTCAGAATTCAGAATCTTGGCTTGAACGAAAGAAATTGCAAATTGTTTGGCTTTGCCTAGTGAAGGTCCACATAGGGATATCAAATATGCTCCTGGTAATGTACGTACAGAAGGATCAACTGCAAATCTGCAGGTAGCAGTCTGGTCTCCACAGACTGTCAACGGTTTGTCGCTCAATTTCTGTTTCGTCTTTCTGGCGACATTTGTGCAGGCGACATTGTTCGGCCCGCTGTTGCCGTCAGCACCAGCATGGGTACTTCCGGAGGTGACAGCACCCACGGTTTGAGCACATTCTTTTTAGTGCGTAATTTGAGAATTTACTGCTATGTAACAAAGAACTTTTGCTTGAGAAAGACTCAGACAAGTGCCCTGAAGACTGAAGACATGGCTGGTTGTTGTCAAACTTGAGAGCTGCTTGAGAGCTGCTGTCTGATTCAATAGCAGCTTGTTGAACAGGGAGCTCATGGGGTGCTGGCGGTGCAAGTGCTGCTGCGGATGAACTGGCCTCTTTATTGTTTTTGCCTGGACCCTAGGAAGAAATAGTTTCTTCGGCAGACCAAGAGTGTGCACTCTGCTTTTGATTGCTCACAGGACATGCCTACCTTCAGAAATGCAGTAGTATTCTTCAAGGCTTGCATGCTGATGCAAAAGCATAGGGTATTCAAACATGACTAGTCTTGGTTCCTGCTCAGGGTAACATAGGCACGACTGGAATGGGTGGGGTCAAGCTTGCAGCGAACAGGGCTGAGTGGGCCCTCTCAACAAAATGTGAACATAAAAGAGCCATCATTGGGAAAGTCCTGTTGTGTCTGCGCGACAACTGTTCAGTGCCATGCCTGGTTTGCACATGTCGTGCATCCTGTCATGACCTTTTGTGTCACAACCTTCCACTCATGATTTAAGTATCCCAAAGAATCTAGGAGCCAAATGATTAGTGCGAGCGCTTGTTTGAAGAAGCGTGAGCTATCTTGCGTCCTGTCGGTAGCTTCCTATAGGTAATAGCTACTTAAGCTACTACCTCACCTACCTCCTAGCGGCCTACCCCCTCATTTCAGCTTTTCCGGGCGGCAAGAAAGGTAAAGAGTCGCAGGTGTCTTCTAGCCGATTTTGATTTGAGTCTTTTAGCACTTCGACCCCATTGACGCTCTCACATGAAACCTAGGGACATATGATATAGCAGATAACAAGTCATGGTCGCTTGTAAAGCTGAGGCTTGCTGGTTTAGCCGACTTCGACTTGATCTTCCCTACTACTCATTTTTTGCACCTGATCCTCAGCCACGGTATTGCAGGCCGTTTTGCTTTTCCCTTTTGCTGTTTGCTGGCTTAGCTGCTTGGCTTTCTGACTCGCTGGCGTCGACAGCTTGTGTATATATATATACCTTTAAATATCTGCATGCACCACCTTCTCCTCCTCCTGCTTCTTCTTCTTCTTCTTACCCAAAGAAGCCATCCACTTGTGCTGGAAGCAGAGCACCTGTTACGTTTTGACTTTCCACTTCCTCCTGGGCACAGTTGGTTACTAGAACAAGCTTTCCAGCCTCTACGTCGGTTCTTTCACTACAGTCAGGCATTTGTTTTTGGAGCTTGAAACTGTGGGAAACTTGGGTATTTTCGAGATGGTAGGACCGCCTTGCAGATTATCTGTGTTATTCAGGCAATTTTTTCACATAGGTTTCTTCTAGGCATTTGGCGCCTTCGTACGAACTCTGTCCCGAGTGCGTGACACACGAAGTAGATGTGTTCAGACACGCACACACTCATTTGTTGAGTGTATTCTGTGTACAAGATGGTCAACTCCTTGCCACCATGACTGGTAACGACATACCACTAGTGTGATGCGTGTTGCCCAGCTGGACCAAGGCGCGAGTTGCCGCCCTCTGCAACAGAGGAATCTTTGATTTTCAGTCCGGTAGATTCTGTAACAGTAGATTCTTTTGCAATTTTTATCAATTAGATTTGGCAGAGCATTCTTTCACTCTTTGTGTGCGGCTGTCCATTGAGAACTGCTTTCAACATGAACTTTACAAGCACACCCAACCATTTTGCTTTGCAAAGGACGCAATTTGTGCCCTCTTCTCCAGATATGGCACAGTCACGGCTGTTGATATTGTGTTTGTCCGGCATGTTAGATAGAAACAAATAGTGCAAGGTGTTTCCTTCTCGTGCCTGACAGGCAAAGCAAAGATGATGGCCGCATCCAGGGCTATGCTGTGATCTTACTTGTAGTTTTGTTTCTTTAGACCACTGGGCACTTGACCTTTCTTCATTCCTTCTTTATTACCTATTCCTCTTTCTTTCTTTCATCCTGTATATTCCTGCCAAGTTTCCATCATGAAGTTTGCTTGATTGAGTGGACAATACTAAGGTCAGTATTGATAGCCGAGAGAATGCGCAGAGGGCAAAGGACAAAGCAAGCATAACAGCAGTATTGCCAAGCTTAAACAAGCTTAACTAGCTGCTCAATGAAAGCCATTGAATCTCTTAGAGCAGATACTTTGTGGCTGTGGGGTGAAGTGCATTTTGCTGATAATGCAAACAACATTCTGCTGGGGCGTTTGAGGGATGCTGGAAAGCCTGGGCCTCTGCAAAGCAGACAACCCATACACTTGAGTTGTTCGTCAACATTTTGCTCAAACACAGTCATCTGGATTCACCTGCTCACCTAGATTCTACTTTCTGACCCAGAACTGTCCGACTTCTTGCTTGAGCTACATAGAACTTCCGTGCAAACACCACGCCATGTGAAGTTGAAATAGCCTCTCTTCCGCTGCACCTCAAATTAAGCAAAACAGTTCTTCCTCCTTTGCCATGACTCAACAGGGCTCTGATATTAGGTTTTCACACCAAAAACTGTTCCGGTGTAGATCTCAAACGCGAAAAAGACACGGCAGAATAGAACAGTCCCTTTTTGGAATGCAGAGGGTGACCGACAAAGCGGAGACAATTTGAGACACAGCAAAAGAGGCGACCCAGCAGAACAGGCATCGCTACTAGGAGCAAGGGCATCGCTACTAGTAACAAGGGCATCGCAAACCCAGAGACAAACGGAGAAAGCCCTACGACCTGCAGCAAAGAAGCAAGAACCCCTCACAGGTAAACCTGTTTGGGGAAATACCTTAAAAGATAAACAAAGATGCACTTCGGCCCTCAAGCTGCATATTCTGAATATCACTGATGAAGTGATCCGGAGAATCCTACAAACACTGGCAACTTAGCCGAAGCGATGTTCCATTCGTCACCAGCCTTGCGAAAAGGGCGCCATTCCATGCAAAGGGAAATCCATGTGAACGCATGCGGCAAATGCCTATGTTGTGTAAAGAGGAAGTTATAATTGAAGATGGAGAGGAACAACGCAACCAAAGTGGCTGGATGAAGAGAAGTTACACAGAAACCTTGCAGGGGCGATGGATGACACAATGGAAAGCATATTTCAGGCCCAAGACAACCACACAGACATATTTCAAAAGTGTCGTTGGGTAATTTAGCTGGATATAGAGCATGATTCAGACAAAGCCAAGACAGTGAAAAGACATGAATTATAGCATTTGTGCATTCCTGGAGCTGTCGTCCTCTTTGCCAAGGGATGCCTCAGGAAACTTTTCACCTTTTGTCTCCAGCAGGGTTTACACAATGCAGATTTCAGGACGACATCTTTCCAACAAACCAAAGAGGCAAAGAGACGGGGAAAGAAGAAAAAGAGAAAGACGAGAAAGACAAAGAGGATAAGGAACCGACGAGGCTGCCATATATGAATATATGAATATATAGATGTACATATATATATATATAGATTAAATTAAATATGTTGCGTCTTTGCAGGACGCCCTCCAGGATCGAGAAATGGATGGAGTGCCTCTTTGGATCGAATGGTCAAAGAGCCCATCACAGGCAAAGTTTGGCAAAGCCCGCATGCCAGTTTGCTGAAAATCGCAATCCTGCTTGATTTGCGGGAGGGCGCTCACGTCGAACATAGCCCGCAGAGCAAGGACCAAATGCCCAAAAGTTGCAAGATGAAAGCATAAGAGTGATTTGCAATAAGGTTGTGGAAACGCTGTTTTGCCTTCAGTGTCGGATGGCCGATCGTGAGCAGGTGTTTCTTTTTCGTTGGCTCTAGGCCTGAAGCCATTTACGTTCGCTACGCTTGCGGAAAATCGGTCGCGCTTTGAACCCGATTGCTTTCGTGTTCTACAGTGGCACCGGAGCCGCCTTCGATCCAGAGCTTTGCATTGCACCCTGCGCTCCGCCTTGCTTCGCTTGGACCTCCTTCGCGACCCTTTCGAGAACGTTGTTTCCTCAGAGGTTGTGACCTACCCTTTGAGGAGCTCCAGATTCTCCACTTTGTTTTTGACACCTTTGCACTGCCCCTACTTCGACCTAAGCCGCCGTGCAAGTCGAGTTGGTGCTGTCTTTTTGGGGCAACTAGGTCCCGCCTTTTGGAAACTACCTCATAGAGGAGTTCTTTGACCTTGTTTTTGACACCCCTGCACTGAAGAGTTCCTTTTTTTCAGCAAGCAGTGCCGCTTGAAGGGCCATTTTGGCCGCAGCACCATGGCAAGCAATGAAGAGTCCGGAACCTCTTCATGGTACCGAGTACCCACCTGGTCCGGAAACCCTCAGGAGTGGCGCACCTTCAAGAGGGAGATGAATTGGTGGATTCGTCTCTCGACGCGGACCAGTGCAGAAAGTTCAACGTTGCTGCACGGTGGGCCCTACGCCAATATGGCGTGGTTCGAGCGAGATGTGAAGAATTTGATCCAGCGGATCTTGAAGGGACACCGGAAGATGTCATGGTGGATCCCGACAGCGGCGAGAAGGTGGTTCGAGCTGCAGCTGATCCGTTCAGCGGCCTTCGAAAGCTGATGACAGCTTTGGAGTCGACGGAGGGCAAGTCCGCCTTGGATCGCAAAGGAGAACTTCGATCCTTGTACTACCAGGAGATCAAGCGCAATCCTGGAGAGCGCATCAGCGCCTTTTGCACCAGATTTCGCACGCTGGTGGCAGAGCTTCGTCGAGAAGGCATTGCAATGCCTGATGAGGAGATTGGTTGGATGCTCAAGGAGCGCCTTGGCCTCGACGCCATCCGGAAGCAGCTTCTCGAAACGGCCTTAGCTGGCCGTGAGTCTTACGACATGGTGGAAGCCGAGTGCCTCCGACTTTTTCGAGATTTGCACTCGTCCGATCCTTTGAATCGGACCAAGCACTTCGAGAAGGCACCACTGCTTCAGAGGTTTTTGCAGCCCCATGACCGCAATAGCTCAGCATCCTCCTATAGGCCCTCGACCTCAGCAAGTTCGACAGCCCCCTCATCCAGGTCTTTCAGATCTCAGAGCTCTTTGTCCAGTCGGCCACCGTTCAAGAAGTTTGGACCTCAGCCTCGACAGGCTTTGGTGGCCGAAGGTGTTGAAGAAGATGATGCACCGCCAGAAGGCGATGAGGAAGAGCTGATCCCTGATGACACACAACATGGTCTTGCGGAAGGCCTCACCATCGAGGAAGTGCTCCAGACGGAAGCTGAGTTGTTAGCTTCTGAACTTCAGGAGCTTGAAACTGATGGTTGCGATCCCCATGTCCTTGAAGAGCTCGAGAGTGGCATGGAACAAGCTGCAGAGAGCCTCCTGACCATGCGAGAGGCTCGAACGAAGATTGCTGAAGTGAAGAAGGACCGTGGCTACGGCAAGGCAGCCGTCGGTGGTCCACGATCCATGAAGCCGCACGGCAACGAGATCCCCAAGCAGAAGAGCACGACCAAGTGTTTTGACTGCGGTGAAACTGGCCATTGGGCTGGTGATGCTGGCTGCAAAGCCCCTGGTGCTGGATTGGCCAAGCCAAAAGGCCGTGGAAAGGGCACTCCGCCTGCCAAGCAAGTCAGGGTGACTGAAGCCCTGAACACAGAGCATGTTGTTCCGCCCTCAGCTGATGAAGATGAGCATGAGGTCATGGCGGTCTCAAATGAAGAGTGCTTCACCATGCCGCTGTCCGAAGTGTTGAACCAGCAGCACGTGAAGACTTTGAGCGTGCTCTGCCTCGCTCAGGACAAAAAGTTCGCGGGCGCCCTCGACTCGGCCTGCAACCGGACTTGCGCCGGAAGTTCATGGTTGGCCTACTACTTGGCGTCCCTCTCCAAAGCCCCCAAAGAGATCCAAGACCTCATCATCGCCGTGAAGGAAGATGAGTTGTTCAGGTTTGGCAATGGAGGGACACAGCGCAGCACCATTCGCTACCGGTTGCCCATGACCCTCGGATCTTCGTTGGTGTTGGTTTGGGTCTCCATTGTTCCGGTCCCCTCACTTGGACTCCTCCTCGGTCGAGACTACTTGAGTGCCATCGGTGCGGTCCTCTCGTTCGGTCGGAAGAAGTTGAGGGCTGATTTGGTGAATGGTGAGATGTTGGAACTTGGACAGTTGGCCGCAGGTCATTTCGCCTTGCCTCTCCAGCCAACCACTTGGCCAAGTCCGGGCACTCAACGATGGAGGAAACTGGGACAGGACGGGATCATCGAGTTGCAGTTGAATAGTTTTGATTTTTGGAAGCGACAGTTGCAGTTGAAGCTTTCTCATTTGGATGTTTGTTTTGATGCTGCCCATGCACCACACGAGCATTTGGTGACAGAGCACGGCATCCAAGCTGCGACGTCGGCCTGGGCTCAAGCAATGAAGGTGGCTCAAGAAGCTTCCGCATCCAGGACGACATCCCCTTCGACGACTTCCCATCGAGCAGGATCATTCGATCATCATGGACAAGCCCGAGTACCACGACCTCACAATGAATGAGTTCTCAAAGACCGTGGTGCGATGGAGGCGAATCATCCTCCGCCTTCGAAAACGGGCAGAATGGCACGCCCATGGCTTGCTCTTGTGGCTCTTGCCGCGACTCGACCACATCTGCGGTACGCGCCCTTTCCGTACCCCAGCATCAGCCACACCAAACATTGGCAAGAACAAGCCGAGTCCATGATCCTCCAGAAGCCAAAAGCTTTGGCGCAATTTCACTGGCAGCGAGCTCGCCACCAGGAACAGCCTGTCTACACGACCAAGAACTTGATGGAGTTGGGGCAGTTCCGCAATCGAGTTGGCCTCGAGTTCGCTTTCATGGAGGACAACATGTTGCAGGGCATGCTGGCGGCAAGATCCAGCAAGGGCATCAAGTCTCAGATGCGCCGCGAAGCCATCGCAGAGGCGCAGATGGAGGCAGAGGAGACGGCGAAACGTGGAGAGAAGATGACAGCAGTTCGAGCCCTGATCGGACCCAAAGGTGGCCTTCCGACTTTCATCAAGCTCGCCGCGCTCCTCAACGTGACGGTGGATTCCAAGATGACCGTGGAGGACATCAAGAAAGCTTGTCGTCCCATCGTTCAGGACATCGCCAAGACTCCGACAAGCAAGGCCAGTCCGGCCATGAGCTCCACCGACAAGCACGCGCCCAAGCCTTCAATGGCAAAGTCGGCAGCTCCTCCGCCAATTCCGGAGCCAAAAGCCCCTGGGGTGACAGCTCAAGAAGTACAAGAATTGCTGACCCTGCAGGATCAGAAGTTTCAGGGCATGCTGAACCAAGTGCTTCAGAGCGTCAACAGTCTACATGGCGCAGCCCGTGGTCCCGATCCTTCCTACCAGTGGACGATGATGCAGGACACTCAGATGGGCTCTCCGGAGGAAGAGCACAGCTGGACGCCGCAAGAGATTCAAGAGCTGAACCGCGACTACTACCAGTCCGACGCAGAGTGGAGGCAGGCCAACGGCATCCCACCTCGGGACCTATGAGTGAACACCCTGAGGCACCTCCCAATCCATGGCGGCTTCACCAGGACGTGAAGCCCGGTCAAGCTCAGCTCATTGCAGATGCTTGGCGACGCCACGAGCGTGAGAGAAAGCTGATTTCTTTGAGTGCCAAAGAGGTCAATGAGATCTATGAGTCGCAATGGACAAGTGACATGGACCACTTCCAAGACGAGACCTTTGTCACTTGCCTCACCCTTGACCTCAAGAATGATGCTGACCAGTCCGTCGAGCATGACGCTCTTGCGAATGTCACCGTTCCAAAGAATGCCCAAGTCTCTGCCAAGACCTTTCAGCCTGTGAACCCCAAGACCTTTGTGACTGAGGTTTACACCACTACGGAGCGAGTGGCAAAGACAGCAAAAGCGCGAGGACACAAGGTTGGTGATTCTATGAGCTTGGAAAGTGGTTGGAACTTCCTCAAGCCCCTTGACCGACAAGCTGCGAGGCGCAAGCTGGCATTGGAGATGCCTTTCTTCCTGGTTTTGGCCTTCCCTTGTTCTTTTTGGAGCATCCTGTTGAACCTCAACCATCCGAAGAATGCCCAGGAGCTCTACCAACAGGCCATCACCCTGTTGCGCTTTGCAATTCAGTTGGCAAAAGATCAACGCCAGCGTGGCTGTCACTTCATCCTGGAGAATCCTCAAAGCTCCAGGGCACGGTCGCTTGAAGAGATGGTCAAGGCACTTTCCACGTTGGAGGCTCTGATTTTCACCAGTGCCGCTTTCAGTTGGTGAGCAAGAGTGGTGAGCCTCAGCGTAAAGCAACGAGATTGGCGACTTCGAGTGATGCAGTTGTCACCCAACTTGATGGCATGAAGTGTTTTGCAGATCATCAACACTCCCACATCATTGGTGGCAAGTCAATCTCTCAGCCTGCAGGCCACTATCCCTGGGCCCTTGCAAAAGCCCTGGTTGTTGGAATGGAACATCAGTTCGAACAGGACTTCCGAAAGCCTCACTACACCCTGGCCGTCGAAGATGGTGAGGAGGATGTGGATGAGCGCATGCCTGCGGTTGACCTAGATGAGAGCGACTCAGATGTCGCAAACGAAGAAGGCTCAAAAGCCCCAAAGATTTCGGCAAGCGCCAAGCAAGCTTTGAAGCGCCTACATGAAAACACCGGACATCGTTCTGGCCGTCGTCTAGCAAGAGCACTTGCTGTGTCAGGAGCCCCTCCAGAGCTGATCTATGCAGCACGGCATTTGAAGTGCTCCATTTGTGATGAACAACGAGCTCCAAAGGCCCGACGACCAGCAACGCTCCCAGTTCCAAAAGATGTTTGTGATCAAGTGCACGTTGACATCTTTGAAGCCTGGGACATCAATGAAAAGCGCTTTTACGTGGTGCACGCCATTGACTTTGTCTCCCGGCTGCAGATGGCTGAAGTGTTGGAACACAAGAGCTCCAGCATGGTCGAGCGCTTCTTTCGAACCCGTTGGTTGCCCGTTCTTGGTGCCCCTCGAGTTCTGATAGCTGACCAAGGGCGCGAATTCGTGTCCGCTGAGTTCGAACAGTTCTGCAGCGAACGGAGCATATACCTTCACCATACAGCAGTTCAAGCACCTTGGCAAAACGGTGTTTGTGAACGTGGAGGAGCAATCCTGAAGGGCATCATGCGAGCTTGCATCAAGGCTCACTCCGCAATGGGCAAGGAAGACCTCGACATTTGCTTGCAAGAGTTAGTTGCCGCCTACAATGGTGACATCAACGACGCTGGAGTGTCGCCGACGCAAGCAGCTTTTGGCAAGCAGCCTCGAATGCATGGAGATTGTTTAGGTGATTTTGGTCGCCGCTAGAGTGAGCACAGCCTCATCGACTCCAGGCCGAGTCTTGCTCGGCAAGTGGCTATGCGGGAGACCACAAGGCTTGCAATGGGGTTCGTTTGCACTTCTCCAAAGGCCTGCGTCGAGCTGAGATTGCACGGTCTCGTAACCCGACTGCAAACCATGGTCTTGTTCCAGGTGACATCGTCTACTTCTTCCGGCAAACTCGCTACAACAACAAGACAGCTGCCTCCAAGAAGAAGTTGAGTTTGAAACGATGGCATGGCCCGGCACTACTCGTTGCGATCGAGGGCGGTGTCAACGGCTATGTGAGCTTTCGTGGACAGCTCACCAAGTGTGCGATGGAACACCTTCGCTCAGCAAGCTCCTTGGAACAAGTGGCCAGCTCAGTGTGGCATGACGCAATTGAAGAGGTAATAGAAGCCGCTCAACAAGACCAAAGACATGTTGAACAACGACCTCCGTTGCCGGCAGTGGATGCCGAACCTGATGAGCCTGCAGATGTGGAACCTCATGCTGAACCCCGTCAGCTCCCTGCTTTACCTGAAGAAGCTCCGGCTGATTTACCTCCTCTACAACCGCGTGAGCTGGTGCAAGCACTGGGACCTTCTGTACCTGCCCCGTCGACAGGTGGCTGGTCTCGTGAGACTTCCTCCATGGTGAGTCAGTCTCCTTTCCCTGAAGCTGTACGATCGGCATTGGCGCAACGCCGCCGAGGTGTGTCGGCCCAGAGCAGTCAACTAGATGATGACGCTGGATCCACGAAACGTCCAGCTGAACTTGATGCAGAACAACTTCGCCAAGAAGCTGAACAGAGTCGCGCAGAACCGGCTCTCCCTATGCCAGTTCCTGAAGCAGCTGGCTCAGAAGCTTTGCAGGTGACCCATGAAGTGTTGGAAACTTTGGCCTTTTCACATGTTCATCCTCTACGGCAAATTCAACAGATGGCCGAGCTTGATCGTCAAGATCCCTTGTCCGCCTTGGTGCATGATCACGGCACTTGGCGTGGAAACTGGCCCTTGCCTTCGAGGACCGAGTTCAAAAAGAGGCAAACTTTGAAGCAACTATGGCCGCTGGGCAACAATGATGCTGCCCAAGAAGTTTTTGCTGTGTTGACAGCCCGGAAGGAACGTTCTTGGACACAGATGACTGCGCTTGAGAAAAAGGAGTTCCGTGAAGCAGCCACCAAAGGCTGGTCTGTTTGGGTTGAGAACGATGCCATCGAGCCCCTGCCGGATGATGAAGCTTTGAAGATTCGTACCAAGTTGAAGGCTGAAAATGAAAGCCACCGCATTTTGGTTCCTCGCTTCGTCTACACCGACAAGAATGAGGGCCTTCGAACTGAGCAGCAAGACCTTCCACTGAAGGCCAACGCAAGATTGGTCGTGCCCGGCTACCAGGACATCTCAGCCTATGGCCTTCGCTGTGACGCTCCTACTGCTTCGAGGACCTCGCAGCACCTGTTGCTGACTTTTGCTGCTAGCATGAAGTGGCGGTTGGCGAGCGCTGACATCAAGTCCGCCTTCATGAAGGGCGAAGAATTTGGTCCAGAAGAACGTGTTTTGTACTTGGCCAACATTCGCACCAAGGCAGCAGATGAGCCTCAGCTTCCCTTTTCTTCGTTTGGCCTATGCCGCGTGAAGAAAGGTGTTTTTGGTTTGGCCGACAGCCCTCGACGCTGGCAAAAGCGACTTTGCAAGTCTGTGCATCGCCGCGGCTGGCGCATGTCTTCCCTGGACTCAGCTATGTGGTTCCTTTGGTCGACAGATGGCTCCAAGCTTGAAGGCATCCTCATATCCCACGTTGATGATTTGTTGCTTGGAGGAAACCAGAGAGCCCATGAGACATTGAAGTCCCTTGGTGAAGAATTGGGCTTCGGCTCTACGTCCTCCGGAACCATCACCTACTGTGGCAAGAAGATTGAGCAGCGCTCGGACTTCTCGATTCGAGTGTCGATGGAGGAATACCACCAGAACATTCAACAAGCTCGGATCCATCCTCTTCGACGTAAAGATCCATCAACTGCTCTTCTACCCGGAGAACAAAAGCAGCTCAGAGCACTTCTCGGAAGCTTGCAGTGGCTGGTAGCACAAGTCAGATTTGACCTTCAGTTCCAGCTCTCCACACTTCAAGGTGCAGCCCAGACGATTGAGACACTGCAAAGGGCGAACGCCTTAGTTCGAAAGGCAAAGCAGCATTCTACCTTCGCACTCTCCTTCAAGCCCCTCAACTTGAAGAATGCTGGACTCGTCGTGGTGTCTGACGCCTCGTTGGGCAATGTAACCAAAGAAGGTTGCTCGCAAGGCCCAGCACTCAAGAAAGTGTTTTCTCAAGCCGCCTACTACATCCTCATCGCTGACGAGGACCTGATGGCTGGAAGAGAAGGCAGCTTTGCAGTCTTGGACGCCCGGTCCCACAGACTCAACCGAGTCTGCCGCTCGACGTTTGCGGCTGAGCTTCTCGGCATTGAAGAAGCTATGGATGCAGGGCAGTACTGCAGAGGAGTGCTAGCTGAAGCATTCGGTCATCCACTTGACCGAAAGCCCTTCGACCTGAGCACCGACGCCGTGGCCATGACAGTTGTCACCGATGCCAAGGACGCTTATGACAAGTCCTGCTCCGAGACCCCGAGTTACGGGCGCCAGAAAAGCTTGGCATTCACCATAAGCTGGATTCGTTCCATGCTTTCTCGGCGCAACATGTCCATTCGCTGGACAGCTACGGAAAACATGCTGGTTGATTGCTCAACCAAGGAACTTGATGCTTCCCACCTCCATAAGATCCTCACGGACTGTCGTTGGAGCATCCAGTTTCCCTCCCGCTACATCAAGCAAACCTCCAAGGGCAAGAAAGCCTTGAATGATGGCAGCAGCTCAACTGAGCCTTTGCGCAGTGACCTGTGTATGTCTTTTGATAGTACTTCCCCAGCGTTTGGCCACATTTTGAAGCTGGCTGAAAGGCAACCTAGCGGTGCATGTTTGTCGGCAGGCAAAATCCTTTAGGTTGCCTGAGCCTCGTTTTTCCCGAAAGGAGCTTCCATATCGCTCCACCTTTGCCCGCTTTGATGGCAAACACAGTTGCCAATGGCGCCAACTTGAAGCCAACGAGGATTTGAACGAGCTTCCGAACGCTCGTCGACCGCTTGAATCAGTGGCGGCCCGCCTGATCACGGTGTTTGGAGCGCATCCGACACATGTGCAAGAAAAGAAGAAGATCGACTGTGGAAACGCTGTTTTGCCTTCAGTGTCGGATGGCCGATCGTGAGCAGGTGTTTCTTTTTCGTTGGCTCTAGGCCTGAAGCCATTTACGTTCGCTACGCTTGCGGAAAATCGGTCGCGCTTTGAACCCGATTGCTTTCGTGTTCTACAAAGGTAATAAGGCAAAGTCTGCCTGAAACACACCCAACGACTTGCTGAAGCTTCGTCACAGGAGAGAAAGTCTCGTGTGGTCATTGTGGAAATCCCGGCAGACGCCAAGAAGAGACGCACTATTGACAGACTTGCAAGGCCAGGCATTTCATTTACTGTGCTATGCGTCTCAGTAGTTCTGCTTTTACAGGTTGTCTTCAAGCTGGACGAACCTGCCAGGTACGTAGCCCAGGAAGGCTTCAATTTCGAGAAGCTCATCATGCAACGCGAGTCTCCCGAGGAAGCCTTGAGTCATGAGCAATATTTAAAATATTTCAACATTCATTGCCTTTCAAAAGAATAAGCATTTCTGTAGAAGCACATTTTGAGAGCAGTGCCCCTTTTGTTTGACTTCTGCAGGGGATCTTTGACTTCTTGTTCCATCACGACTCTCCTGAGAACATCTATTACAGATGGAGGAGAGATTGCAGATCTTGCTTGCCGCCCCAAAGCATTCCCCTCGTTCTTGAAACAAGGCCATTTCCCTAGAAAAGGTTTTTGTTTCTTCTTCAACGAGTCAACGCACCCTTTAGTTGAGTTGGCTGTCGACTTACTTGAAGGATGTTTGCCTTTACCCAGCGGGACAACTTCAAGGCAAGCCAAACTCATCCAAACAAGACTCAAAAAGACGTGATTGTGTTCACATACATGCACAGACACACACACACACAGATTCTGCACTTATGAAGTCCGATTGAATCGCTCTTATGCACCATGCGGGTGGCAAGGACATGTATTTTGAATGTGACTATTCCGCAGTTAACACTGATAATGTGTATATAATGCGGCCATTTTTGGTTCCCCAGTGTTTTCGGTCAGCATGGTCGGCTGCACTGCAGATAGAGTTCTTTTTTCCATAGATTTAAGTTATTTATTACCATTACTATTATTGTTATTGTTCTTATTTTTTTTGAATTTGACTAGCATTTTAGTTTTGGCTCCTTCTGAAAACACGCTTGTCTTAGCATCAACCTGACTTGATAAAGCTTTTTTGAATGCTTGTACAGGACTACCAATCTAGGTGCTTGTCTGACTGGGACCTTTGTTTGTGTGTGCATCTAACGCACACGGGGCTTTGCAGGTGTAACATGGTTCTCGCAACACAGAGGCTTTTGCAAGAAAGGTTTGCTACTGCAACAAGTATATTTTTTTCAAACCATTTGGCAAAGCCGCACACATGGCACCAGAGCTTGCTGCTACTGCGTGACTCATTCGCCTAGAAGCTTGTCATGCGTCTGTGTATGCAAATACAAAGCAGCATCCTCAGCAGTGTAGTTTGCCGCTGCTGGTGTGTGTTTGGTCAGGTGTGGCGTACACAGACTTTTCGCATCTACGAGGGGGGCCGATGGTGGAGACCTCCGCCCTGTGAAGCCGCAGACCTAGCCCTTTTTTTGGCAGTAAGCTTGTAGTAAGTGAGGAGAGCTACATAAGTTCAGCAGAGGAGGCAGCTGAGTATATGAAGCTGGTGGTTGCTGGAGAAGCTGGAAGAAGCTTCCTTGAGGAACTTCATTTTTTACCTACCTACCGACCTACCTACCTTCTTTTTTCCCCGAATGCGTAGCGAAGGGTTCTCGTTCAACTCTGTCTGGGGGTATATAGAGCCTTGTTCGCGACTCGTTGTCTGAGCGACCGCAACCGTTGTCAACCGTTCGCAACCGTCCGCAACCGTCCGCAGTAGGGCTCAGTAGGGGAAGCTGTTGGATGGAAGCATGACGTGTGAGGAAACGTGTGGAAACGTGAGAGGATGAAATGTGGAGGATGAAAGCACTGCACAGGGGCAGCGTTTTGTGAGATGGTCACATTGGGATTGGCGTTTGGAGGGTGGTGTTTTTGGGGTGACTTGCGTTTCAGGGTGTCAGGGTGTTGCTTCGAAGGTGTGTTTTCAAGACAAGTCGCAGCTAAAGTGACATTTTTGGTGGATGGGAGTGTGCTCAGAACGTGTCGAAATCATTCCAAACGTGTGGTGTCGTGCAAATTTTTTGAAGCTAACATGATATGTTGTTGTCACTTTTCGTGGCAGGCGCGCAAAGTGTTTTGAGGTGTGGAAGTGCAATTTTCGTGGCAGGCGCAGGGAATCGTGTGGTTGCGAGGTGTGGCGGAGGTCACATTTCGTGGCAGGCGCAGCACTTTGTGCATGTTGGAGGTGGTCGACACGCAAGTTTTCGTGGCAGGCGCACGGAATCGTGAGGTAGCGAGTTGTGGTGGAGGTGAATGTTGCTGTGACATTGTGATTGGCGTGTGAGCGGGTGTTGCTCGGAGGGGCGCTGGAATCCCGAAACTGCTGGCAGGCCTGCTTGATGTGTGTGCTCCAATGGGGCTTCCCGCTTGACCTCTGGAGGAAGTCTCGTACGAAGTGCTCGTTTGGAGACTTTGACGTGTGACTTTTGGAGGAAGTCTCGTACGAAGCGCTTGTTTTGGAGACTTGACGCGTGAATTTTGGAGGAAGTACGCTCGTACGAAACGCTCGTTTTGCAGACTTGAAGTGTGAGTTTTAAAGGAAGGCTTATGCGAAGCGCTCGTTTTGGAGACTTGACAAGTGAATTTTGGAAGAAGTTTCGTACGAAGTGCTTGTTTTGCAGACTTGACGCATGACTTTTGGAGCAAGTCCCGTAAGAAACGCAGTTTTGGAGACGCTTGACTTTCGGAGACTTTAGTAGTGGTGGCCCGCAAGAGTGTTCTACAGGGTCCTAGAGTGTCCCACAAGGGCAAGAGTGCCCTTACAAGAGTGTCCTACAAGGGTGTCCCACAAGAGCGTCCTACAAGAGTGTTCCCCAGGAATGTCCCACAAGAGTGTCATACAAGTGTCCCCACAAGAGAGGAGTGTGGCCGAACAAATAGCGATGTCAATGCCAACAAAAGTTCATTGATGAAACAGTTTGCTCTTGGGGTGAAGGTAATTAAGGTGTACCAAGAAATCGTTTTTTGATTAATATTGGTCTAAGCGAATCGTTTTGAAGCTGTTTGGGGTCTATGCTGGTATAATCGTTCTTCTATTCTATTTTCTTGTTCTTAATGCAAAAGAACCCTTCGCATGATCGAAATGGTTCCGAATTTGAGGGGAAAAAATCGCTCAGGCTGCACTTGAAGCGGCCGAGAAAAAGCGGCAGTCAAAGTTTTCATCTTCGGGCGGAGAGGTCCGGTCAAAGTACTGCCAAAATAGGAAGCGATATTTATATACTTAATCAACATTTTTACAGATACGCCCCTGGCATTCATGGACCTGTGCATTTCTATGCATTGTTTTCTTGTCTCCTGCTTTTGAAAGGAGTATCTGAAGCAACAAACCAGTGTTTGTCAGAGATATCATGCCGGTCTTGATTCGGTCAGCATTGGAAAGAAACTGTTTTGCATACTTGTCAAAGATGAGGGAGGTGCAAGCCTCCGCAGGATCTTTCTCTTCAGACGCCTCCCCCCCCAAGTGCCAAATCCTGCCACAGCGGTGAAAGCTGCTCGAGGCAGGGACGTCCTGCATAGTCAGATAGTTCATTTGCTTGTGAAAGAGGAGAACAAAAACAAAGCAAAATGGCAAGAAATTGGCAGGAATCACAACTGGTTGGGAATCAGAACCATGAAGGTAGAGAAAGGGAAGCACCTCCCTCCACCCCGACTTTGAGTGTTGAAGGTGACTGGGCTTGGGGTGTCGCAATTAGGTTTCAATGTTTTTTCTTCCTCTGGACCGTATGAACGGAGCAAGCATTTCTTTATTTCTGAGGTGAAATCATTATTTCATTTAAGTCTTACTAGTAAAAGCAGTTCATTTGTCTGGAGGCAATGCAGTGCTTCCTGCCCACTGGACTCAGGAAGACATTGAAGAGGCCAAGGGCTTTCCGAGTCCCTCCTCTATTTTTGCTTCTTGCTTTCGTTCAGAGTCCCTCACCAACTTACAAGAAAAACGCTCCGGGCTCCGGGCCTTTCAACGTTCTAGGTGGTTCCACAGTGTCTTTTTCCTCTTGGTGTATCGTTGCAGGAGCGGGAGCGTCAGCGACTTGAGGAGAGAGCGACGCAGGACTGCACTCCCATGACCTCAAACGGAAGGGAGTTAAGATGACAGTCAGATGCACAGAGACAGATGAGGACAGATTAGGACAGAAAGCAAGTAGATGAAGTGCTGGGATATGAAATGTACGCAGGCTGTGTCATGGGCAAGTTAGTTTGTTGGCAATTGTGTGCTTTATAGAGGTATGACAGACGGTTTGATGATTTGTTTGTTGAAGCTGTGTAGAGGAGCGACAAAAGCGCGATCGAAGCCGTACTGTAGCGGGCAGTACCAAGCTTACGTTCAGCTCAGAGAGACAAACATAATTCCTGAGCGCACTGTTCGGCAGAATGGCCCTGGCATGTCATGGATCATTCTGTGCAAGGAATCGGCACTCCCGAAAAAAGACAGGCACACCCACCCAGGTGAACACCACAGACGGACAAGAAGAGACAGACATGCAAAGCTCAGCCCAAATACACTTTTACCCAGATAGCGAGAGCTATTGGGGTTCTTACTTCAAGTTTAAGTAAGCCTGATAAGCATGCACCGGAAGACAGAGATTTCAAAAAGCCTTCGCTTGGGGGCTTCTACTTGTAGTTGGGCACAGTCCACATTTGCAGCGTTTGTGCATCATTGAATGTGTCTGTATTCTCAGAGTATGTGACATGTGGCAAACATATACCCGTTGCAGATGCAATTCCAGAGCAACATCTCTTAGCAGATGCAGACTTCAGTCTTTTGTGGGCTTGAGCTTCCGAATTGGTGCGTGTGCAATGCCAGCCTTCTGCTTTTGGTATGCTTTGGCAACAATGATCCCCTGATGGTTCTGCAACACGACACTTGAGACATACAAGACCCACACGCTTTCATGCAGCAAC